TGAAAAATCTTTGGCTACTGTAACCATATTTTTAATCCAATCAATATTTTTCATATCAAATATTTCAAAACAAAGCTTTTCCTCATTAAAATATAGATATTACAATATTAGCCCATAATTATGTTTCAGGATCCAAATAATAACACTGACCAACATTAATGAAGTATAACCTTGTTCTTTTCTGAGTTGACTTTTTGCTATGAATCCATACTGTATCAGTACATGTTAATATGTTTTCATGCATTCTTTGAGTTTTCAATTAAGTTCATTCAGGTTTTCAACATTTTAAGTCTTTTTAAAGTAACTATCTTCAAACAAATTACAAGTTAAAATTACTTGTAAGATTTTTCCTTTTAACTCAACTTCTTGACTAAACCCTTCCTCTGGACAGCAAATGGACTTTGGTACTCAGGAAGAAATTTGTACTTCTTCACATAAATCTGAATATAAAGATGAGCCACTCAAATTTTATTAGATTCAACATCTGAAGATCCATTTGATACAGATCCAGACCAGCAGGGAAATATTTTAGAAAGCTAATCTGCCAGGAGGAACTTGTAATATCAGCTCTGATCTCAGTATACCATCTTATGGAAAGCCTCCAACACCTCACTACTTTGTGTTGGTTTACTATTGCCAACATATCATTCTTAGTAGCTTGCTTTGATGCTTCTTGATGATAAAGCTAATGTTCTTCCAGGAACTGTCTTCTGGAAGTCTAATTAGTATAATTAAGCAAAATGATCAATACATGTACATTTATCAATCTGCTATGAAAACTCCTGATTTAATAATCTTCAGGAATACTATTCATCCCTATGTCACCTGATATGGTATCAAATCATCTGGAGTATTTCTCTTCTATTTCCTGTGCTAAATAGTGTTGCAGTCATCATGGAGCGAACAAAGTAAGCACTTCCCAGAACTGTAAGGCCCAGCCCTAGGCCTAGCACTTCCTCATTTCCTGTGTTGCATCAGATAACTTAAGCAAGCTCACAAAAGTCCCTTGTATCCTTTAGAACCCTCTCCAAATTTCAACCAGTACACACAGAGGCCAGGTGCTGATGTGCCCTGTATGGTACCCTGCCTCCCATCAGGGAAATAAAGCATTCCTCTTTGGGCACACAAGTTCAAATTTGTAACCCTCAGCATATTTCCTAATTAGTGAGTTAAAACTTTTTTTCAAACTAGCATGTCTATCCCACCTTTAATCAAAAAGTTGTTCATTATTGGTAGAAAGTACATATTTGTTAAAATTAAATCTATTTAAATGAAAATACCTAAATGTACTGTGGATCTTCACAGCCTTGGCAAATTGCTGTGTTTAAATACAGGTTTTAAGGTCTACATTAAGACTTTTTTAAAAAACTGCATAAAAATTAAAATGTTAAATATAGGTAAACAAAATAATATATCAAATTTTAACTTCCATTTAACAATTTAAATTCAGTCATACACTATAAATATTACAATCATATATGTTCAGAAAGCTTTTTGAAAAATTGATTTCTGAAGCCAAAAAGTCTATGAATGCCTTTAATGAATTAATATAATTAAAATATTTTTTAGAAATAAACTTGTAATCCGGAACCAAATAATTCAATATGAAATTATATTAATCAAATACCAATTTCAAATGATAATATCAAAAACCAGTAATAAATTTAAAGATATATCAAGAATGACAACTATCTATACAATCTTTGTAACTTTACTATGAATCTAAAATTATCCCAAAATAAAGTTACTTAAAACTCAAAATAATTGAAAAAAATAAAATCAATCATGTTCTATTTAGCAATATGCTAGATATAATAGGTAATGATTATGAAAAGGTGATAATGACAGTAAAGGAATAATTATGCATGTCTTCTATGTTAGTACGAAAAATAATGGCAAATTACAATATATTAGCATAAAAGGCAAAGAACTTCACTGATGCTAAACAATTTGCACTAGAGTAACCATGAGTGCTTGGAACAGTAGAGGAGCAGCTGTGCGTGGCTGCTACAGAATGCTTCCTGGAGATAATGTTCATAATGTATTATACACCAACTTAGTAATGGCTGATTCAGAAACTGTACCTAGAAAGCCCACCAATAACAGTCACTTTCATTTTCAACTTTTTGTACAGTTCATTGTAAAAGCCATCAGGCTCTCATGGTCCTGGAAACCTAAAGCCCAACAGCCTCCCCAGGCACCCTCAGTGGAAACTTCTATCAGAGGCTGCCCCATTCAGCACCGGAACCACAGCACTGAGGTCCAGAGACCCTATGGAATTCCTAATCCACCTCTATCAATTTCAAAGATCCACTGAATAACTTAAGGTATTCCCATAGGTTTCAAAACTACTTCCTTTGTTCTCAGTTACCCCTGATTTAATTTGAAGGAGCAAGGTCTTACATGTTGGAAAAATGAAATGGTCCTTCAAAACCAGTAGAGTAAAACAGCCATCTGTTAAGGCCACCATGGTCTGGTTTCCCATACATTCTACAGGTCAATGGTTCATAAGGTGTGGTCCTCAGATCTAGTGAGTTGAGAAACTAGGGAGGGCCCAGTAACTTGTGTTAACAAGTTCTCCAGATGATTATACTTCACCCTCAAGTTTGGCAACCACTGCCATAGGCCATACAATACAGTACTTAAAATGTCATCAGGAACCCTAAACCAGAAATATCTGTGGTTTTAAGTCTGAAATTTGAAAGGAACTTCAGGACTTCCAGCCGAGATGGGGGCAGAGGTGGATACACTGTGCCTCCTCGCACAACCAAAGGAAGGACAACAACAAATTTAAAAACAAAAAACAATCAGAACTGACAGAAAATCAAACTCTAAGGAAGTCTCACAACCAAGCAGTTAAAGAAGAAACATTCATCCAGAACAGTAGAAGGGGCAGAAAGCTGGCAGCAGCTGGCCACCTGGGTGAGGTGGTAGCTGGCAGAGTGGGTGGTCCCATATTTGCGTGCGGATAAACCAGGAGGAACAACTGAGGAGCAAGACAGACCATGCTAGCCTGAGTTCCAGTGCAGAGAAATAGAGCCTCAAATTTAAAAAACCTATGGTGGTTGAGGAGGCAGGAGAAACACCCAGCCTCACAGGACAGTTCATTGGAGATACCCATAGGGTCCTAGAACATACACAAAACCACCCACCAGGGAGTCAGCACCAACAGGGCCCAATTTGATTGTGGGTAGAGTGGAAGTGACTGAAAGCTGGCAGAGAGCTGAACAAGAGGCATTGTTCCTTCTTGGACTCCTCTCCCACATGCAGTATCACAATGCAGCACTGTGGGTTGCCCTACCCTGGTGAATACCTAAGGTTCTACCCCTTACTACATAACAAGTGAGCTGAGACAAAAAAAAAAAAAAATGGCCCACATGAAAGAATAGATCAAAGCTCCAGAAAAAATACAACTAAGCAATGAAGAGATAGCCAACATATCAAATGCAGAATTCAAAACATGGTAATGAGGATGCTCACAGAATTGGTTGAGTATGGTCGCAAAATAGAGAAAAGGGTGAATGCTATGAAAAGTGAAATAAAGGGAACCAATAGAGAAGGGAAGGAAACCAAAACTCAAATCAACAGTTTGGAGAAGGAAGAAATAAACATTCAACCAGAACAAAATGAAAAAACAAGAATTCAAAAAAATAAGGACAGGCTCAGGAACCTCCAGGAAAACCTTAAATTTTCCAACATTCTGATCACAGGGGTGCCAGAGGAAGAGGAAGAGGAAGAAATTGAAATCTTATTAGAGAAGGACAACTTTCCAAATCTGGCAAAGGAAATAGGCTTCCAGGAAGTCCAGGAAGCTCAGAGAGTCCCAAAAGAAGCTGGACCCAAGGAAGCACACACCAAGGCACATTATAATTAAGTTACCCGAGATTAAAGATCAGGAGAGAGTCTTAAAAGCAGCAAAGGAAAAGGACACAGTTACCTACAGAGGACTTCCCATAAGACTCTCAGCTGATTTCTCAAAAGAAACCTTACAGGCAAGAAGGGATTGGAAAGAAGATTTCAAAGTCATGAAAGGCAAGGACCTACATCCAAGATGACTCTATCCAGCAAAGCTATCATTTAGAATGGGAAGGCAGATAAAGTGCTTCCAGATGAGGTAAAGCTAAAGGAGTTCATCATCACCAAGTCCTTATTGTATGAAATGTTAAAGGGACTTATCTAAGAAAAAGAAAAAGATCAAAAATATGAACAGTAAAATGACAACAAACTCACAACTGTCAACAACAGAATCCAAAAAAGTGAAAACCAAAAACCAATTAAGCAAACAACTAGAACAGGAACAGAATCACAGAAATGGAGATCACATGGAGGGTTATCAGCAGGGAAGAGGAGGAGGAATGGGGGGAAAGGTACAGGGAATCAGTAGCATAAATGGTAGTCAGAAAATAGACAGGGGGAGGTTAAGAATAGTGTAGAAAATGGAGAAAAGGAAGTTATATGTATGACCCATGGACATGAACTAAGGGCAGGGCATGGGTGGGATGGGATATGCAGGGCGCAGGAGAATAAAGGGAAAAATGGGACAACCGTAATAGCATAATCAATAAAATATATTTAAACAGTTTGTATGCTATAAAGGAAAGAAAAAAAAGACAAGATTATGAATACTGAGCATTTTCATGGTCACCAGATGCAAGGGGTGCATAGGGGAATGGGTGAGGTGGTGAGGGGATTAAGAAGTACAAATAGGTAGTTACAGAATAGCCATGGGTATATAAGTATAGTATAGGAAATGGGGAGTCCAAAGAACTTATATGCATGACCCATGGATATGAACAATGGTGTGGGGATGCCTGAGGGAGTGAGGGGTGCTGAGTGGAGGGGGGGCATAGGAGAGAAAATTCAGACACTATAATTGCATAATCAATAAAATATCATTTAAACAGTAAAAAATAAAATAAATAAATAAAAAGAACTTCAGTATTATACACAAAGCAGTCAAGGCAGAATACAGCCTAATTTTTCTACTCATTATTACTTACCTGGAGGAATATGAAGTCTATATAACAGTTTAATTTTCTCATTCATTTCTCCATTATACATAGTATCTGCAAAAAAAAAAGTGAGATTGAATGAATAGATGCAAATAGTTAAAGTACACGCGTCATGACACAAACTCACTGAAGAGAAAAAAAGGTCAACACTTGTGGACACAACACTTCCTCTTCCCTTACCCCAGACACATACACTATGTTTGCAATGAAAATGTGAAAAAAGCTGGTGACTGGTGACTGTTGAGCTACAAGATAACCTCATAAATTTTGTCTGGCCTCATACCTTTTGACAGATTTTAATTCTATGTGTAAGCTTTGGGAATGTGGCTTCTAACAAACCACCATCACACCCTGGGAACCAAAGAGAAAAAGGTCAATGAGCTTGTGTATTAACAGCCTGAGTCCCTTTCTCCTTAAGAAATTATAAAACCAGTCAAGATAGGAGCCTACAGAATGATTCTTTAACAAAATTGATTTTAGAGAGAGGTAGGGGAGGGAAGAAGTAAGGGAGAGAGAAAGAGAGAGAGAGAGAGAAACATCAACATGAGAAACACCCATTAGTTGCTTCCTGTACGTGCCCTGACCGGGGATGGAACCCACAACCTTTTGGTGTTTGGAACAACGCTCCAACCAACAGAGCCACCTGGCAAGGGATGCAGAGTGATTTTTAAAATCACAAACTCATGTGAGGCTAATCAAAAAAACATTTCATTGTTTGTATCTGCCTGCTACACAATCCACCTTGTATTATGTTCACAGATTCACATCCCAAATCAACTCGCTGCAGTTAAGTACAGAGTCATACCAAGACAGCTCACAAATGCTCTGAATTCAATAAGATGGTCCATGTTGTTATCCAGAAGCCTAAAAGTCCTTTCAGCAAGGATCTCCGTGTGGGTCCCACAGGTCCATGGCGAGACAAGATGAAACAGTTGGGCAAACTGCCGGGTGTCTATGCGGTACTGCTCTGCATAGGGCCTGCTGGGATCGTGGCGAGAGGCCATGGGCCTGGACTGCTCCCAGTAACAGCTCATCATATATTCTCTCTTAAAACAAGAGGAAAAGAGGGACCTGTGAGAGATGGCAGCATACTTGAAAGCCAAGGCTAACATGACCTCTCATGGCTTACTTTGCCTTCTAAAATTATCTATTATATTGCACGAGGAACACTGTAACACACACACACAAAAAATTACTATTTCACCACTCTAACCAGACATGTAAGTGTTCACTGTTACCATATGAATATGCAATTTTTATGTTTTTTAATTAAAATTTTTTCATTGTAGCAAATACATATAACAAAATTTACCATTCTAATCATTTTTAAATATGCAGTTCAGCTGCCATAGTTTTAAAAATAGACAACATACAATTTTTAATCTATTTTCTCATAAAGTCATATTTGAAAATCAAAAACTACTAGCTGAAGCTATAGGATACAAAAGAAACTAGGAATGCTGGTTACCTGTCAGAAAAAATGGGGGTAGGGACTCAAATGTGGAAGCAAGTCTTTTTACTGAATACTTCTTCATATGTTCTAAACCTTGAACCACGTGAATATATTAACAATTCAAAAAATTAAAAGTAAAAAGCAAAGGCAACTTGAAAAGTCTTGGGAATAGACTAAAAACTAAAGCAAACAAAACTGGCCCTGTCACTGAGGATCAGCTGAACCTCTTTAGAATACATCCTATACACCTGTACTAAGTAACCTCTTGGGATACCTCAGCTCACTGAAATGAATCCCAATGACCGCAGATTCTTCACAATTCCAATGCCCTCCTCCAATACTCTAATATGCAAGGGGCACATACCATTCTGGATAGAAAAAAAAATGACATTTATGATTTTACTGTCATATTCACTACACTCATGTCCCTTAAAAAGAATTTTCAGAATTGTGAAAAGTACCACAAAGGTCTAATAAATTTCTGTTCCTGAAAATCCAAGACACACTATGAATTTCCATGTATATTTCTGCATCCTGTGATACTAAAGGCCCACAGCATCCTGCCCAGAAGAAAACAGTTACATAGGCCAAGGCCTAACCCAACCAGTTTGCATAGAATCCTACAAAAAATAATAAAATAAAATAAAAATAAAAATAAAAATAATCAAGGGATGAGAATAGGTGACAGAAAAAAGACATACAATTAGCCACTAAAATTCTCAACCTCACTCATAAGTAAACAAACTTAATTTTAATGCAATTTTCTAATGAGTAGAAAAAAATGTAAAGATCCATAGTAAAGGTTAAGATCCAATATTAACATTTTATTAAATGTTAATAAATCTTTAATATTAACTTCAGTATCTTAAAATATTAATATTTAATATGAAATGCTATAAATATTGGACCCTTTAATATTAAATGTTAAATACTAAGTGTTAAATATTAAATGTTAAAGATCCAATATTAAATGCTGGGTGGGTGTGGAGTGTAGGAAATGAGCACTCTTAGATACCATCAATGAAAATGAAATTTGAAAAATCAAAAACACTTGAACAGTACTTACTAAAACCAGACTTGTGCATCCCTAAGAAACCCCTCCTACAAAAACAGCAGGATGGACATCTTGATGGGGCACATCTTGATGGACATTCACTCAGCACAGCACTGTTTATACAGCAGCAAAAAACTGGGAACAACATCAATGCCCACTGATAGGTAACTGTTATAGTTTAAACATTTAAACCATAAATTATGGTTCTGACCAATAATAAAATTGTGCAGCCATTAAAAAAGAATGAGAAAAGAGCTGTAGCTATTGCTCTCGAAAAAACTACAGGCCATTACGTGTAGCATGATCTCGCTTTTGTGTGGAAAAAGTGTGTGTGTATGTGTGTGTGTGCCTACAGAGAAAAAAACTGGGAAAGAGACGTGTCATTTGTGAACAGTAATTACCTGTACAAATTAGGATTATAGGTGCACATAGGATAAGATCCTTTCGTTTTTGCTTAAAAGCTTTCTTTTTTTTAATGATAAAAGGATAATTTCATTTCCTTTGTTTTGCATTTTTAATTAAATTTTGAAAATAAAAAGTCTTAATTAGAATATGACAGTAAGCAAAATGATATCAAAAAGAGCAAATACTCTCTAGAGCCTGATAATCCAGCAGCAGTGAATGAACGTAACTGAAGAAGAGCAGGTTGTTGGAATCCACAGAGGTCAGTTCAGGTCCCAGTGTTTCTAGGAATAGCCTATGGTTCTGACCACGTGTCAGACTGTTCACATCTTACTTGGAGAGATAAGATTAATGAAGCTGTCCTCAATTTGAGAGAATGGGAAATAGATGTCACAAATCTGAATGTATGTAATTTAAACAATTGTTTTACAATATGGATGGACCTAGAGGGTATTATGCTAAGTGAAATTAGTCAGATAGAGAAAGATAATAATCTCACTTATATTTGGAATCTAAAAAACAAAACAACAAACCACAAATTCATAGAAAAAGAGGTCACATTTGTGGGTACCAGAGTGGGGTCAGTGGGAGAATTGGGTGAAGGTGATGAAACAGTACAAACCTGCAGCTATGAGATGACTGAATACTGGGGATGTGGTGTACAACATGATGACTGTCTCAACACTGCTTCATGATATATTTGAAAGTGGCTAAGAGAATAGGTCCGAAAGTTCTCATCACAAGCAAAACAACATTTTTTATTTTTTATTTTTTATTTTTGCATCTGTATGAGATGGATGTTAACTAAACTTAACCTTAGTGATTATTTCACAATATAATGTAAGTCATTATGCTGTACACCTTAAACTTATACAGTGTTATATATCAATTAATTATATCTAGATAAAATTAAAGGAAATAAAAGAAAGGCGTTAAAGGATAAAAAGAGTGCTTTAAATTAACAATAAAAATAGATTAAGTACCAACCACATTATTCATCTTTAATAGGAAAAAGTATGTAAAGATAATGATTGTAAAGATAACTATTTCTTGTCAGTTATCTTGTCAGTCAGAAAGAGTATGTAAAGATAACTGACTATTTCTTGTTAACAGGGTAAAGGGTCACATCTGTACACTCCAGGCTTAGGGAAGGATCCAATAAAAGGAATAGACTCCTTATTATGAACCTATCACATATTTATAAAACAAAGTATGTCTTCATGGCCCTTTCCCTTGACAAAATGATATTTTGATTCAAAAGACAAGAGGTGCACGTAAAATCCAACTGGAGGACATTATACCCAATAGTACTTAAGTATTAAAATACAAGAAATCCAACTATGAAAGCCAAGGAAATTCAGAGAAGATCAGGAGGATGGGGAGAAAGGAAAGTCTGAGAGGGCTTGTCATGGAGAACATGATGATGACTTGAGTCTGGAAGGAAGATGCTGGGAAGGGTTCATAAAGGAGGAACCTAGGTTGTACACCAGAATAAGACACCATGATGATGACACTATTTTACTGGAATTTCCTTTGGAGGTAAATTTTGAAAGTTATCTTGTAGTTATAGTTAGGCCTACAAAAATGAAAGACTTATGAGGTTAACTACAAATATGAAAATAAATTTCATTAAGTAACAACCACATCACTCTCAAGAACAATAGAAATAGGAAACAAGAAACAGCCCTAACTATCTTATTTAAAACCTCTTTGTATTATTCCCTGGCTAGTGTGGCTCAGTGGATTGAGCACCAGCCCGTGAACCTAAAGATCACTGGTTCAATTCCCAGTCAGGGCAAATGTCTGGGTTGCAGGCCAGGTACCCCATTGGGGGCATTCAACAGGCAACCTTCTCTCATATATTGATGTTTCTCCCCTCCTTTCCCCCTCCCTTTACCTCTCTCTAAAAAATAAATAAATAAAATGAAAAAAACCTCTTTATCTTAAAGATGACATAATTAGTACTTAATGAAATTTATTTTATATTATAAATTTAAAGCAATCTTTTAAATTACATAAATTCAAATTTCTGATGAGTCTTATTCTCTCAAATTGAGAACAGTTAACTCCAAATAAATGAAAGACTTTATATGTTAAACAATACATTTATTTACCTGTTTTTATGTTTCTTGTATTCTGTATTTTTCCTTCTAGAAAGTCAGAAGTGTTGGAACACCAAGTACCCTTTCACTTTGTATTTTTTCTTCATACAATGGAGGAAACTACAAAACTTGAAAACAGGTGACGTCCACAGGAGAAGGGGTGTGGGGAGTTCTCACAACACATTGTGCATATTATGAATGAGAAGTGCCAGGAATCTAAATGCCAACAACCCATTTCAGTGACTGCAGAGAATGTGCCATGACCAGTGCACCAGGATTCAGACAACCACTAAGACTCTGCTTAAAAGTCCCTGAAGTGCTGCTTATCACTATGTCAATTATTTTGGCAATCTAGATTCAGATGTGACAGGGGTTCAGAGTTCCCACCAGGAAGAGCTCTGAAGGCCAGACTCCAAAGCTGGACTTGTTTTCTACCATGGCCACCTCCCGCCACTGCTGGGGTGTCAGCAGAAAATCAGTGTGTCTGCTCCTCTTCCCCATTCTTATTTGCTGTTTTCCAGCATGAAAATTTCTTGCAAGGCACTTGAAAATATTCTTTGTAGCATGAGTTAAGTGTCAAGATGTGGGAATCTACCTAAACATCTAAATAATACACCAGTTGTTGAAACACAAATACCATATGACTTCACTTAATAAGAGGAATCTAATGAACAAAAGAAATTAATGAGCAAAAGAGAACCAGAATCATGGAACAGACTGACAGCTGTAAGAGGGGAGGAAGGAGGTGAAGACTGTATGAAAGGAGGTAGAGGAATTAGTCAAAGAACATATATGCCTGACCCATGGACATGGACAATAATGTGGAGATTGACTATGGAAGTGGGGGACAGGCTAGGCAAAGGAGGGCAAAGGGAGAAAATTGGGACAGCTGTAATTGCATAAAAAATAAAATATTTTTAAATCCAAATATTAGAAATACGGTTTAGTATATTATTACCAGTAAGATAGAATATAAAGTTATTTAAAATAAAACTATGTGGCAACAGACAAAAATGTTAAAAACAGCATCAAGGGAAAATACAATATGAAATAGCATGCACATCAGCCATATAAATATAAAAATATGTGTATATGTTGCCCTGGCTGGTGTGGCTCAGTGGATTGAGTGCTGACCTGAGAACTAAAGCATCGTTAGTTCAACTTCCAGTCAGGGCACAAGCCTGGATCACAGGCCAGATCCACAGTAGGGGGCACTTGAAGGGCAACCATACTTTGATGTTTCTCTCCCTCTCTTTCTCCCTCCCTTCCTCTCTCTCTAAAAATAAATAAATAAAATATTTAAAAAATATACATGTATGTGTATTGTAGATTAAATTATAAGTAATTAAAAAGTATATGAAGTGATAGTTTCAATAGGATCACTGTTCCATCTAACATAGACTGGGAACTTAGTGCAGATTGGCAGTAGCACTGGTATGTGGGCTTGGAGCAGTCAAGGCTGGCAGATGGGGAGCTCCACCCTCTGCAGCCTCAGAGAAGAACAGGGCAAACCCTCTGGCTTCCACACATCACCACAGGCAGGCTAAAAACAATGGCTTGGGCCTGACACTCCCTCATCTTCCCCAACTTTCATACCTTGAATAAGTCATAGAGTTCCTCAAGGTCTTCCAGGAGAAATGAGACTTCTGGGTAGACAACACGGAGCTTGAGGAAAGAACAAACAACAAAGGAGTGAGATCTTGTCTGCACCTGGAGAGTCAGAGACAGGAGGGGCTTTTCCTGCAAGTGTGGGACACAAGGTACTAACACCAACTTCCATCTCTGAAGGATCAGTGTCTGCTTCTTTCTGACACAAAGATCACCTTATGGGAACTTTCGCAGGAGTTTATCCTTACCTTTCTGATTCACACACTGGGTCCTCCAGAAACACTTGTAAGTTCTAATGGAAGTTCAACACTAGCAAAGACAGTTTGGGCAAGAACTTCTTCCCGAAAAACAACTAACACTGTAGGCTATGTGTGCTGGGCATTTTCTATATCCTACCTCCTTTAATATCCCGCTGTGGGAAAAAGAGGTAAAGGAATTAGTCAAAGAACATATATGCCTGACCCATGGACATGGACAATAATGTGGAGATTGACTATGGAAGTGGGGGACAGGCTAGGCAATGGAGGGCAAAGGGAGAAAATTGGGACAGCTGTAATAGCATAGGGTCAGTTTACAACTGGGGAACCTGAGGCTCTCAATGTGTCTGACTCTGAAACTCATGCTCTTGCTCTATTAAGTTTTTAATTCAACATACCAAAACCCCCTGGCATTCTTATATTAGAGACCAACAGGGACACCACAGGTCAGTACCTGTCATGAGCCACCATGTTAAGGAGGCTTCTACTCACCACGTTCTGCTTTGTGGTGTCTTCATGGCCTTGGAGAACCCTGATCCTATGCCTATAGCGCATGCGCTCAATCTGTTCCACAGACTGGTCTCCATATTTCTGCAGGGAAACAAGGAAGCATGCACTCACAGAATTCCTTCTGTATACACAGGACACAAGAAGCAGCCTCGGAAACCTCCCTCAAGCCCATCTCCCCAGCAAGCTTCCACTAGGCAGGTGAAGATGGGACAGGGACCAATTACCTCATAGGAGTCCCGGATCAGGTCAGCAATGTTAGTCACGAGATAGGGTTCCTGGTCGTCAGAGAAAAACGTGTGGTGGCTGCCAACTGGGAATCCAGGGCTGTCCTCATTCTTAATGTGATCCAAAAACCTGAACATACCACTCAGCATTAAAGCACAGGCTTACCCTTATCTGGTCACAGGGGCTATGACACATGTCACACATAGCTCATTTATCATTGTACTTTCAAACATAGCTCACTTGTCTCTAAATAATGGGAAGACATCCATAAAGCCAGACTTGTCAATCTGTGCTGCACCAGTAGGTTTCCAGGGATCTGTGACTCTCCATTGAAGTAAATCACAATATTCCAAAAGGGAACCTTTGTCAGCTAATTTACCCTCAGCTGTAAGAGGCCTGGGTTCCAGTCCTCAGCCTAGTGAGACACAACAGGCCCAACACACAAAATGTCTGAAACATTCAGTTAGCTTTCTGACGCCACCAATTTCCGGTGCCTGCTTCCCCCCACTCAAGACTGCTACAAGTCCATCTACACTCAAGACATTTCAGTTTCCTCAGAGAAAACCATTGATAGCACTGTCTCTTCCTGGACTCCCTTACTTGGTAGAGAGGATGAGGGAAAATGGCATTCTTCAAGCACACACAGTTGACAGTGCCACCTGAGGGATAGGCTCTGGGGAGACGACAGGGTGACAAACAACAGGGTGGAAGGAAACCTTCCAGTGACAGCCCTCCTGGGCACCTGCTCTCCTATAGTCCACCTCACAGAGTTGCAGCTGGTACCCACTCCATTCCCCAGTCAAAGATAGCACCAGAGCCCACCTGCTGAGGACCATCAAGGCTTGACCATCATCCCTGCTGCTGCAGAGGTCTTTGGCACAGGCATCCAACACAGCTAGCCCCAGCTGGAAGATGGCTTTGATCCCATCATAGAAGAAACAATCTACAATGTTCACTGCACTCTCCAGGGGCATAATGCTGAGGAACAGAGTCAAGAACCATGAGAGTGAGATGGACGCCAGGGCTGAGGGGTCGTTCAGGTGCTCTGCCAGCTCAGGCAGGTGCTCTTTAACAAGCTCCTCAAACACAGACTGGTCCACTTGCGCCCCAATGACTCGGTGATTGAAGTAGTCAGGAAGCATCCGCTCACACACAGCAACTAGCAACCAGAAGGCTTCCTCCTCCTTGGCGTACAGCAGCAAGACAGAAGTCAGGATGTTCATGGACTGCTCAGGGTTCACAGAGGAGGAACAGTTACTAACAAGACCACACAGGAGCACAGAGATGTCAAAACACACAGAAGTCCAAATGACCTACAAAAGTCAAGATCAGGGTACCCCAACCATAGTGACCTTCATGCAATGAAATTTACCATGTGTCCTATCAACCTGGTCCTTACAAGATATAGATACGAGGCCGAGCAGTCAACCATCACTCCATCACTGCCCCCATCTAGCGATGCTGGATTGAGATGTGATACACACCTCAGGCTCAGATTAAATCCATCTATTTTCTGTGTTCGTGTTCCAACAGATACACACATACACACACGTCATTCACCCACTGATTTTGCTTATTCAAAGTGTAAAATCTTATATTTTTAAATGTCAGAACCTTCTCTAACCCAGTCTTAGGCTGGGGGATTTTTGTTGTTTGTTACTGGTGTTTATTTTGTGCTTGGTTACCACATCACTGCGTAAACTAAACAAACTTCCTGAGTCCTCAGGAACTGTTCAGAGGACATCTTACTTCCACCCCTCATGTTTCCTGAAGGAAGTGACCTGCCCCAAACATCTTTTTCCTCCCCGATTAGCACTGCCATTTTAAAAACAATCCCTATTAAGTCCTATAGGTCTGAAAAGACAGTTCCATAGCAGCTTTATCCTCATCGCCCACCAGTGGAGGCCTGCGGGTGCATGAAGACAGCACCTCCTCCACTGTAGACTGAGCATATGGGATGCTCTTCTTAGGCCTGGGAAAGCTTTCTCAAATGATCAGGCTGTCTGACACTCTGAAGGTAACTTCCTTTGGCCTCATTCGATGCATTGTTTAGGGAAAGGGACCAAGCCCATACGTAGCCTTCACACAACTGTCCTTGGTACCAGATAACCAGAAACCACAGACCCTGAGGCGTACATGGTCAACACAGGATGTGGACTAAATGATTCTTCTCCTCAGCACACACCTCACCTGGCAGTACCCAATTTTGGGGTTCCGGTGGGCATAGGCCGTCAGAACTCTCCTCAAAGCAGCGATTCCAGTTTCATTTTGGAAGGCAGGGTGCTCTGGTAAGGAACGATGCAAGTCCCGTTCTATCTCCTCTGTCACCAAGCAACATTTTCCCATGGACTCCTCTACCAGATTACCATAGTAACCAGGATGTGAAGTGAGATCGGTTACAGCATCTAATGATTTAAAAGTAATTTTTCAAGAGAGTTGATTACCAGGATAGTATAAACATAGGAAGGGTGTCTGCCCTGTCGGAGAATCTCAGTAGGGTCTCACTGCTTGAAGGACAGGAAATATTTTGAGACTACATACAACGAAAAGGACTTCATTGCTGTCAAAAAACAAAAAAGAACATGGCTTTTCTAAGAATAACCTTATAGGAAGAGGGAGAAAAGCACCTACTAGAAATACTTTTATTATTATGGTCCTCATAAGTTGTATTCCCTAGCAACAGGAAGTGTCTGATGTGTTTATGTGTATACATATATACTCACATGCATGTACAAATACACAATTTCCATGCATTAACTCAACAAGAAATTACTGGGCACCAGTGTATAAAGCTCATGAGAAGATGCCATTATGATTAAGTAATGCTAACAATTATTAAGGAGCCAGCAGCTGCCAGCAGGAAACTGCAGACAGTGTTCATGATGTGCAAGATGAACAAGCATAGCTCACCCAGGGCCAAGCTACTGCCCAGGCCTCTGACAGCAGGGACATCAGGGGATAAGTGAACCAACACCTTCTGAGGGTTTTCATCACTCATCAGCCAGTATCAGGGCACTTGTGATTTTCGTCAGTGTTCCCTCAGTGGGACTAGTGGTAGGTGGCTCCCAGTACTGCTGCCAGCCCATCACAGACAGGTTCCCAGAGGGCAGGGGAAGCAGAAAGGGTCCAATTATGCCTTTAACCACTAGTTAATGTTTTTAATTCTTATTGGATTTAGGATCATACCCTTCTCCAACTGTCCCATATATTAACAGTTGTCACTTATTTAGCACAGCTTAAACACTACAGCAACCCTCCTGCCACCAAAGAAAACATTCTATCAATGGAATGAAAAGATAGCCCTATATGAACTGACTCCACACTTATTTTTTTAATAAAAAGCATATGTGTAAATAGTCATTCCTCAGTATCGATGGTTCCAGGACCCCCATGGACACCAAAATCCATGGATGTTCAAGTCCCTTCAATGAAATGGTATAGGATTTGCATAGAACCTGTATCTGCATATAGGGCACAGCACTGTGTTCCTATACATTAGTTCTTTCATATGGATTCAGCATAGTGTTTGGCATGTGGCAAGTTCAAGTACTGCTTTTTCAAACTTTCTGGGATTTTTTTGCCTGAATATTTTTGATGTGTTAGTTGAATCCACAGATGTGAAACACCTATGGATATGGAGAGCTAACAATATACACATATAAAATATGTTTATTAAAGACACCTGGAAGACCATAAACCATTCTAGGTGGCTAGATTATTGAGTAATGTTACTTTCTTTGCTTGCTCTTCCATATTTTCTTTTCAAATATGAACACAGATTATTTTTATTACAGATAAAAATACAGAAGACACTTTTATTTTTTTTTTATTGTATTGATGGTGTGTCTTAGGTAGGCAGCTGCAGAAACAAGCCTGAGGGGGAGACTCAGCCTATGATTGGGTAAACAGCGGCTAGAGAGGTATCCATGACACTAATTATGGAAATGCACCCAGTGTGCCTGAAAGCCCAAAGTCTGCATGTGGGCACCTCTGACTAGAGAGGGAAGGGGCTGGGATACTTTAGGAGAGAGACCAGGAAGGAGGAGCAAGATGATTGGGGGTGAGAAGCCACCATGATGGAGGAACAGGATAACTGAGTGGTGAGAGGACAGGCACCCACACATGCCCAGCCTCGCTGCTGATGTGTACACAGCACAAGTTACCTGGAGAAAGTTAGCCTCCTCACCATGCCTCCCTCAGCACTCTGTGGGGAGTGGCAGTCATACCACAGAACAACAGGGACCTACCCACCCTGCTCCCAGCCCAGCTCCTCTACCAAGTGGGGCAAAATGGCTCATGATCAATGTAGAGACAGGCAAACGCCTGCTCCGGAGTCTCTGAAGAAGTTTGATTCCAGCCTTGGCCCACCCATCAGCACTAAACAACAACAGAGGAGGGAGAGGCCTGGGCCTGACACCAAAAAGCCAGCACTGAATAGGTCAAGTGATTCAGGAGGAGAAAACACAGAGGAGAAATCTCTGTGATTCTGTCTCCTAGGGACTTATGTGTCTTCAGGAAGGAGGGGCCAATACAAAGTGTGCTCTGAGGAATTTATTTCAACACCATGGCAACTGAACACCTTATAAAGACTGTTTTGTTTAGTGTATTTCAGAGTGCACACTCTTTAAAGACACTTCCCTTCTAGGGGGTTCATTTTTAACAGAATTCTCAGGATTACATATAGACTCAAACCCATTTTTTTAAAACTTGATTCTAAAGTAAGGGGAAGAGAGAAGGAACGAGAGGGAAAGAAACACAGACGTGAGAGATAAACATTGATTGGTTGTCTCTCGTACATGCCCCAACTGGAACTGAAACCATAACCCAGGCATGTACCCTCACGGGGAATCGAACCCATGACCTTTTGGCCTATGGGATGATGGCCAACCAGCTAAACCACACTGGCCAAGGCTCAAAGTCCTTTTTAAAGGAGAAGAGATCATGTCAGATAGACTTCACACTGATGAAGAGGACACTGATGCCTAGAGGCCTCAGGCATCCTGACTAAGGCCCCACAGCTGTCACAATAAGGTTCTGAAGTCTGGGCTGGGAACATCACAGGAAGGATCTAGGACACATACACACACTGCTCAGACCTCAACCTGTGTTTCTGAGTCTGCTGCCTAAAAGCACCAGAACAACTTACCTGAGAAAAGCAGCCAGAGTCTACCACGTAAAGACTCAGGGATCCCCATGGCCACAAGCTTCCGGATCTTCTCTGTGCGAAACATACATACAGTTCTGCCATATTCCATAAAGTGCTCATTCCACAGGCTTAATTTGATCTGTTCTCTGGACTGAAAATAGAAACATCCTTAATGTACAGAGAAGCTCATCTGCACCTTCCACTGCAGCTCATCTACAATCCAAAATACAGGAACATCACTTATGTTAACAGTGACAGGCAACTCCTTCAGCAAATAGTACTTCTGAACCTCTACTGGGCACTGAGGATATAAAGGGGAACAATACAGAGCACCAGCCCTTCAGAAACTGAGAGCTCAATGGGAGCACTTAAGCAATAAAATGCCATTTCCTTGGCAAAGTAGATAGGAAGAAAATATTTGTCCTAAGACAAATGTAACCCAGAGCAGATGAGAGGGAGAGGTAGGAATGGGAGGCATGAGAGGAAGGAAGCTCATCAGGATGCTGACATGGAACCAGTTGGCTAAACACAGGTCAGCTCAGAAGACAAATGGGAACAAGGGGGAATCAAAACTTGCCATGAACTTCCTGACAGCCAGAAGAAAAACTGAAACCTGAAAAAATCACATTACTCTCATCATCAGAAACAAGATATTACTCTTCTAGGCAATTAAAAATCCTTTAAAATAATTACTAGAGGGCAGAAAATTTTAGTTTCTTTTAATAGGATGTTTATTTAATTATCTTTACAAAAAAGAAATACTGTAAAAAGAGGTACACTCAGATCCTACAAGATATAAAGAGAGATTTTCTGGGAACACAGACTCCACTGTGTGACCACATACATGGGTGACCAGGCAGTGGGCATCAGTGGACTCCTTCCACTTTAGGCCAAGGAGGCAAAGAGGGGGAAGCTTGCTGTTCCAGCCACACCTGCCCTCCTAGATGCTGAGTTCCACAGTGAGTCAGATGGCTGGGAAGCCATATCCATTCAAACTCTGTGAGGTCTGGGACAGGCAGAGTATGCACCCACCATTTGCACGTCAGGGCTCTGGCTGCCCAACTGCTCCAAAACAGCTTTTGGGGCCAGGGGGTGCTGCTGCAGGCTTTGCTGTTCTTCACCTTCCTCACTATTTTGAGAAGACATCATTTCAAGATCCCTAAACTTGTGGCCACTGCACATGCTTGTTGAATGAAACACATGTGACATCTGCATGGAGGGGGAAAGAGAGATAGAGAAAAGAAAGTCATTGCTTTAATTATAGGACAATCTTCATCTTGCCTTTGAAGGCATGAGCATAACAAACTCAAACATGTCTATTTATGAATCAAAGGAAAAAGAGACTAACATGAAACCCAGTGGATTTGATCCTCAGGAAGGAGTACAGTTCACACTGCAATGTACCCATGAGATTGCTCATGGCACCCTGGGCACATATCTAATGGAGACTAGGAAAGCACCTTTCCTCATGTGCAGTCTCATCTTCCCTTAGATTCCAGACTGAAAAGGACTATCTTTACAAAACAACTCTAGGGTACTGAAAATTATCTGTGGTCCTCCCTGTCCAGGATGGGTATATAAGTACAGGAGACTAGGGTCTAGCAGACTGGGTCCATTTTTGTAGCTGTCCACTCTCAAGCACAATGAAGCTTCTCTTTCAGCAAACTACTCCTGCCCCCAAATAACATCACCCCTTCCAACCTGAGGTGGTAGAGGACCCTTGTAACCTTTGAATAGAGTGCCCCTTTAGCCCCTCTAACCTGTGAGGCACATACCTATCAACCCCTTTAATCTGCTTGGAGCCCGCTCTAACCTGTGGAACACCTACTTAGGACACCCAATGCATCAGAAACGGTGCCAGACTGATACGAAGGCTGCATCACATCTGACATATGTTTCTTGTACCCATGTGCATTAATGTTATGTGCACTCCCCTTTGCAGGACACTGCCATAGAACTGGTAAAAAAGATGGGGTTTTCAGAGTGTAGAATCCTACTCTTTTGAAAGATCGTACCATGTCATCATCCTGTAAGGTGCTGTAATGCACAGGGTGGTTGGCATGCACCTGCTTCAGCCGGATGAGCAGACTCTCCACTAGGTCATCTCTGTCCTTGAGTTCAATGAACTGGAAGGCCATCTTGCTGCGGATGCTAATGATGATGGGGTTGGGCAGCAGACTTGTGTCCTCCATCTTCTCAATGCTCACAACCTGTGACAAGAAATTACACACAAAAAGGTACAGCAAAAAAGAATGGAAGCAGACATTTAATTACGTACTCAGAAATACTCCAAGATAGAAAGCCAAAACAAATAACTACAATAAGAAACTGGGACAGAGGTTAAAAGTATATAAGGCAGCATACTCAAAATAGCTAAAAGGTGAAAGTAACTCAAGTGCTCACCCTAGAACACAAGTGGATAAACCAAATGTGTTCTATACATACAACAGACAATTATTCAACCCTAAATAGGGCAGATATTCTGACACATGCTACAAGATGAATGGACTTGGAGGACATTACACTAAATGAAATAATCCAGTCAGAAAAGGACAAATAATGTGTGATTACACTCACATGAGGTACCCAGAATAGTCAAATTCATAGAAACAGAACGTAGAATGGTGGTTGCCAAGGACTGGAGGTGGAGGGAAGGGGGATGCAGAATTGTTGTTTAATAGGTACAGGGTTTCAGTTGGGGAAGGTAAAAAATGTTCTGGAGATGGATGCACAACAAAATGAATTACTTAATGCATTGATTAACATTCAAATATGCTAAAATGGTAAATGCTGTTATGTATATATTATAATTTTTAAAAATAAGTATATAAGACAAGTGGATTTCTTGCTCCACTCTTATGTGAGAATATTTGTGAAATGAAGACATCTTCTGCCAAAATAGAACATGGAGGCATGAAATCACAGGAATGAAGAAATTTTGAGTTTTTCTGAAGAAGAGTACTTGTCAGGATGTCACAACAGCAAGACAGGGGTTCTGATTATAATGGAGTTATGGGTTCAGTAAAGGCAGGGATTCCCTGAGACCACAGGATGAGCTGTCAGAGCCAGAAGTAGACTCAGGGTGCCCTCAATTCCAAGAGAAGAATTACAAATTTGTACAGTAGGAAGGGGTCTGATCCATGTGAAAGGAAACACTGTTAAATTTTCAACCAAGATTTCAGGAGTGTATAAAAGCCAAGCAATTTGACCTTTATTTTCAGAAGAGATGCTTTTTGTAAATCACCTTTTTTTCTCTTCCCTTTTGTGGGTGAAAGGGGAGTATGCATACCTAAAAGCTGTCATAAAGCTTTAATTGCTAGGCAGTACTTTTAAATAACAGCTTTCTTGATAATGTGGAGGTTAGTGTGTCCTGTTCTTCCCAATCACTTTTATAGAAATTTCAGGTTGCCAGAGCAGTATCAGAAAAAGCAACAGCTAAGGAGGCAATGGTCAAATTCAGGCCATGCTTCCCTTTAGATGCCCACCCTTAGCCAGCAGAGAGCATCCCCACCTGCTGCCATCTCCCAGGGAGGTGGGGTCCCCTCCTTACCTCTCTGAGCGGAAGGATGACATTGCAGCAGCCATCTTCTTTGCTGGCAAAGCAGATGTAACTGTCTGAAGTGAACATCCGCCCAACAGTGTGGCAGCGACTGAAGGGTGTCCACAGAGCACAGTCCATAACCGTGTGTAGCTTCTCTGGCCTTGGCAACCTGAAGAATGCCCGGAAGAATTCATTCTGTGCTCTAGCTTCCAAATGCCTGGTGAAGGAGGGAGACAGAATAAAGAGGCAGAAACAGTTAACACACTCCATTACAAAAGAAAACACTTTTAAACCCATGGCACAATCTATTATTTAAATGAATACAAAAAGGTGCTGTGCCATACAGTCCCTGCACGAGTCAGCAGCACATGCTCCACTTCACTGCTGACTTTTGGAACAAGGACACAAAGATGAATGGGCTGCCTCTGCACAGAAGTAATGTGAAAAACCCAGAGACCAAAATACACAATCTTTTCAAATTTAAGTAACACTGGAAATTACCATAAATATACAGTTGTATTTCTATACAACTGTATAAAAATCCAGTATCAAAAACTCAGATAATAACAAGTGTTGGTGAGGATGTGGAGAAATTGGAACTTGCATATACTGCTGGTAGAAATGTAAAATGGTGTGGCCACTTTGAAAAACAGCCTGGCTATTCTTCAAAAGGTTAAATGAGGAATCATCAAATGCCCTACCAATTCCACTTGTAGGTATATACCCAAGAGACGTGAATACATATGTCCACTCAAAAATGTATGCATCTTCATAGCAGCATTTTTCATTATAGCTTCAAACTGGAAACAACCCAAATGTCCATCAATTGATGAATGGATAAGCAAAATGTGATATACCCATACAATGGAATATTACTCAGCTATGAAAAGGAATGAAGTTCTGATACATGCTCAACATGAATAAATCTTGAAAACATTAATGTAAGTTAAAGGACCCAGATATAAAAGACAATCAGGCAAAATATTGCCTGATTCCATTTATACAAAATTTCCAGAATAAGCAAATCTATGAAGACAAAACATGACTGCTCAGGGCTGGAGGAAGGGGGAGGAATAAGGAGTGACTGCTCAGGAGTATGAAGTTTCTTCTTGGATTGATGACAACTGTCTAACACTGATCACAGTGATGACTGTCCAATGCAGTGAACATACTAAAATCCAGTGAAGAATGGTATACTTCAAAAGGGTGAATTGTATGGTATGTGAATCATCTCTCAAAATATCTGAGCAGCAGGTGATCTCAGGCCTGTAAGCCATGGCAGAAATGCACCTCTCAGGATGGAAACCAGCCCAACGACCCAACAATATTCACTATTACCTACTGTTCACACTTCTGGCATGCAAAGGCCACAGCCACAGCTAGAGAATAACAGAGAAAGGTGCTACAAGTCATCCTATCTTTTCTTTTATCCTCACCCAAGGACATGTTTCCACTGATTTTTATATGGCAGAGTGAAGGTGGGGAGAGGGAGAACGAGGGAGAGAGAAAAATTGATGTGAGACAGAAACATCAATTGGTTGCTTCCCATATGTGCCCCAATCAGGGATCGAATCTGCAACTCAGGCATGTGTCCTGATCAAGAATCAAACAGGCACCCTTTTGGTACATGGAACAATACTCCAACTGAGCCACATGGCCAGAGTCAAGTCATCTTATCTTAACAGTTGACATTTTACGAACCACAACCAGGCTGACAACAAATGTGGGATGATCAGAACCTGGAGCAATAACTAACAAGTTGGTTGTTGAGCTGAACTTAATATGTACAATCATGCACGAAAACTCTAGACCTGAGACCCAAGAAACCAAAGGGGTAAGTACTTATCTTATTTCTCCACAAACCCAGAATTAGAGTTCTTCCTCTTAGATTAGGTAAAGATGTATCAAAAACAAATTTCCTTCTCTCTCTTACCCCATAACCTTTTAGAATGCTTTTGGGAAGAACTGTGTCAGGTCTCACACACTGGCTCTCACTCCCTCATGTTCTTCATTACACATACCTCCTATGGGTCAGAGGCTTAAAACTGATTCAAGGCCCAATGCTTCCCCATACATGGGCTGTGTGACAAGCTGGGGCAGGGGGGCTCTCCATTAGCTCAGAATGTGAGAACTTCCCATCTGTGCTGAACAGAAAGCCTGCAGGCACCACTCCTGCCCTTCTGGCATAACTCAGTGTTCTACAGCCAGTTTGCCACACAAAGATTTCTACAGGCTCTTGTTAGGTGCCCACCCACAGACTCAGGTTGGATACATTTAAAAGTCTGAGAAATATCAAGAATTAGCAAGCTAGAAACAAGGCAGAAAGGTGAGATGTGCTCTTCCTGAAAATCCAAGTCTGCACAGAAGACACTGCATTTCTCAAATGTGTGTTTGCTCTGAAATCCCCCAAGAGCTCTGTGGAAATGGAAGGACAAAGTGAGATGTAGTACCTTACACAAAGCACACCACAGCTGAGGACTACTGAGACAGTGGGAGTGTGAAGTAACCCACCTTCACACAGCAGACGACCCAATAGGACCTCAACAACACTGGGCATCAGAAAGCTTTTTCTCCCTCCAGAAAAGGCTCCTGCCTTCCTCCTCGGCTCTCCATCCTGTCCTAGAGAATATCTGATGACAATAGAGCACCTAGGATGCTGCAGGTGGGAGACAGGGCCTTTTCTGCTATGGGGAATATTCAGCACTGCATGAGCCCCATGAATGTCTCCAGGGATCCACGAGGACTCTGCTAGGATCAGAAGGACAGAGTCGAACAAATTACATGCAGCTTGGGCACTGCTGGTAGGGGCACGGGGAGAACAGCAGGAAAGGGATGAAGCTGGGCAAAGAAGGCTCAGGAAGGTTTGATAAACTGCCGGGAGTTAAGGACAAGCCAACTAACTGCAAGTGACGAATTACTTCTGAGGGCACGGATTATTACTGAGGACATCAGCCTCTTGGGAGACACTGTCTACCTACTCGCAGGAAGAGCTTACTTACATGGTGAGAATTATTTCTATTGACTATACTGCATTAATTGTGCTTTTGTCCAGCATTTTCAGCCCATCCAAAGAGACTTTAATGAAGATATTAATTTCCATTTTGTGAAGCCCATTGCTTCTCCAATATGCCCCCCAAAAACTAGCTGGTTATATACTTTTCTCACCCCACCATTCAAAACTTTAGGATTGATATTTCTTGTATGAAAATTTGAGGACTAATCATTTACTTCTCTCCCTCCTTCCATTCTCTCTCTGGAGGCCCCTGCCCAACCCCAGAAACCCTGCCCCTCCTGGATTCTCAATGACTACATACTAGAAAGCTCTGGGCCAGGAGCTCCGCTGTGAAGCATGCAGGCTAGGCCAGTGACCCCATGTTCTGCCAGGTCCGAATTGTCTGACAAGTTAAATCCTGTCTGAGCATGGGGTGACAATGTGCCATCTCATCCTCGCTGCTCCCACCAATATGAGCCTTGCTCTGCTGTGTCATAAGCTCCTCAGCAGTGAGCACAGCAGCATTCATGACAAACCCATAGTCACCAGGCTCATGACCCCAAAGGCACCTTTCTAAAGCCATTATCTGGGAAGGGAAGTGAATATATTTCAACAAAACAGAGTCTGACAACCATTCCCACATCTCTGACCATGCCCTTAGCATGAAGAGACTGTTTTCCTAAACTTTAACCCTGGGTTCTCTTGGCAGGATGCCAAGTTAACTGAGTCATTACCTATTTATATCCACATGTCCACAAGAAGATAGAAATGGGCACTGGTAAAGACTTGGTGGGCAACGACGTACCTTTCACTTTTGGAGGTAGTCAGAATGCAATTACCAAAAAAAGCATGCCTGAACTCCAGAACACTGCTGTTCCTTCTCCTCTCTCACCCTTCTCTCTCTGCTCCATTTTCTTTTTTAGTGCTTCAAATTTTTTCAAAATATTTTCCCCACCTAATGATATATTAATAGATTTTTAGAGAGAGAGGAAGGATGGGAGACAGGGAGGGAAGGAGAAGAGAGAGGAAGAGAGAGAGAGACATCAACTAGCTGCCTCCCATAGGCACCCCAACTGGGGATCAAACCCATAAACTATGCATGTGCCCTGACAGGGAATCAAACCTCCAACCTTTTGGTATGTGGGATGACGCTCCAGTCAACTAATCTGCCTGGCCAGGACTTTTAAATTCATTACTATACATCATGGTCACACAATTTGAGGCTAGTTAAATACAACAGTTTTTCACATTTTCTTGAAATATTCTAGATTACTACATGCAAATGACTACAAAAATATTTGGAATGTATAAACTTTGAAATTCCAAACAGGCACTTACATGAAAAAAACTTTAACATTCACAGATATCTACATTTAAAATAAATTTTCCAGCACTTGGTACATGGGGTCTTTTGCCAGTAAACAAGTTGGTTACTGACCATTTTATCAAAGTGCCATACTAATAAAAAAGTTTAAAGAATAAAATTTGGAGAGAACTTCCGCCAAGATGGAGGCATAGGTGGAGACGCTGTGCTTTCTCACACAACCAAGTTTAGAGACAACTAAATATTAGCAACAGAAAACACAGCCAGAACACAGAAAATTGAACTTTTCGGAAGTCTCATAACAAATTCTTCAGCCTGACCAGTAAGAGGGGTGAAACCAGCAGCTGGCGGAGCGGGATTGCACAGGAAAACTCAGTCAGACAGACTCCCAGGAGCAGGGTTGGACCTGGTGAGCGACCCAGCGAGTGGCTGCGGGGAAACAGCGAGGGAGCAGGGCTGCGGGTTGACTGTGGTCGCGCATTCATGCTCGGTGGACGGGCGAGGGCGACTGGATGGGACGCAGCTGGCCAGCGGCAGACGGCAGCAGAGGGCACCGCCATTCCCCCGCTCTGACCCTGCCTTCACGTACAGCGTCATAACCCAGCGACCTAAGTGGCCCTGCCCCAGTGAACCACCTAAGGCTATGCTCCTCACCCAGCTGTGCAAAACAGCAGAGGGCGTCCCCATTTCCCGGCTCTGACCACGCCCCCACATACAGCATACAACCCAGCAACCAGGGAGTCCAAGGCTCCGCTCCTCATACTTAACAGGCGCGAACAGAACAAAAATGGCTCAAGAAGATCTCAAAGCCCCAGAGCCTATAAATCTAAGCAATGAATAAATAGCAAAACTCTCAGACGCACAGTTTAAAACACTGATGATCAGGATCCTCACAGATCTG